CTTGTGCAGTAAATGCCAGAATTTCAATTGTGATAAGTTTTTATTTGTTTTTATGTATTAGACCTTGAGAAGGCAGACCAAAGGGCTAGCTGGGAACAGGTGTGAGTTGCGGAGAGTGCAGAAAGGTTTAAGGATGGAAAGTCCTGTAGTGGGGGGAGGATCTGTAGGCTCAGAGGGGTGGCCATATATATAGGGACCATTTCCTTTGTATCCCCAACCATTTTAATTATCCGGCTTGGGAACAGCTTCCCGTCCTCCCTCCCTTTATATGTTTTGGATTATGGTGTTATCTGTATGTGCTAATTTTCTTTTCTTGTCAGGTTCTTGCCAATCAGGGTTGGACCAGTGGTCCAGTGGAAAATGTTCAGGGATGATCCTTACCCTAGCCTCACGTTTAAGGTATGGGCTACAGGACTTGCTCACTGAGGCTGTCCAGTGGTTAGCATGGATGGTATTGGAAGGCCAGTTGGAAGGCCAGTTGTTATGTAAGGACGAGGGGTGAGGACAGGTGCCCATGTTAATGGTTGGCAATCTAGTGATGAAAAGTTTACTGGATATATTATATTAATATGTTATGTTGATAATATTTATTGGTTTAAATAAAGCTATGGAATGTTGTCAGTGTCACCACTTACATCTTGCGTCAAGTTATTTATGGGTAAGTTGAGTAAAAGGGTACCATCCTACACTGTCCCCACTACCTTCACACATGGTTTTCATACATAAGGTCTATAACACAGTAAAAGGTGCATTACATTCAGCCAGGAATGTCCCTTCAATTCTTGATATTTTTATTATAATTCACTAATTATTTGACTATGTTGCTATCCTGCCATACAATAATATTATATTATTTATTTTGTATCAACAATAAGTTAAGAATAGTAGCTTTCTGGGCAAGTCAAGCAGTTTATCAAGGGGAGAATGCACACCCTGTCCCGTTAAATTTTTTAAGGGTTGCATACATATAACTACTATCATATGCAGGGTTCTCTTAATCTCTTATTTCTATAGTCCTATTGTTTTCTGTCCAGAACAATCTTTTCAAAAGGAGCACTTTGGACCATTAGTTCAAGTTAGTGTTAATCAAAAATTTTTGTAATAGGATGCTAGTAACAATTAAAGATGTCCGTGGTATAAAGGTCTCTGCTAATCTCTTTGACAATGCAGAAGGAGAAATCCCTGACATGGGATCCTGGCTCTTAAATCCAACATTAATATGATGCATAATGTTTCATGACCCTTGAAGTTCAAGAAGCGATATTGTGATTATAACCGCACCATGCATGACTAGGATCCATCGTCTGACCTGGTAC